ATTGTTTGAAAATTACAGAAATTCTAAAATGCAGATGCAATACTGAAACACAACTTTACACGTCATAGAAGGGTAAGATATTTTCCAAGAGATGGCTATAACATGTATCAATGCCCTGAGAACTGGACTGATTAAATTTCATTGAAAATTTGTGAGCCATAATTAAGAAAAGACTTAGGAAAATGTACTGTTCATCAAATGTAAGTAAAGAGAGAAGAGAGAATCACAATAGCATTTTTATAGGGACAGAAGAGAACAGAATAAGGCTTAGAAAGAGAAACACAATCAGAACTGTTTTGAAACTGATACGTCAAATAATTATTAAACATTATTTTATATTCTTTTTCAATTATAAGCTTCACATAATAGACATTCATAGTTTCATGTACAGTCCTTTTTCCCCTATTCTTTTGTACATGGAAATACATTTATTGATGTTTGTTATATTCAGAAAAACCAAGAAAATTAAAGTTCAAAATTTCAAAAAGATATTGTTGAAATCTTCACTTTACTCTTCTCTGATTTCCTACAAAGTGTCCTAAAAGTCTTAATGTTATTAAGTTATTAAAGATTAAGTATGCATATATGTATTAATATTTACATGATTTAAAGCTTTAAACTGCACTAAGACTTTTGGGACATCCTATTTTTTTTTACAATACCCTTTTCCTTTTCTGTACTTTTTTCTAAGGAATTTTTCTTTGCTTTGTGTTCTTTCTTAATTCTCTTCCTTTTCGTTTATTCTAAAAACGTGCTCTTATTTTATTGAAGCACAGAATTCTGATTCTGTTATTCAGTTTATGAGGGAAGCAATGTTGATGTAAGCAGCACAAGGTAGAAAATACCCTGTGTCCCACACTGTGTGGTTGGTTTTCCTTCCCACCAGCCATGCCGTTTCATCCCTCTGTCTTCATCCCCACCATACACCCTTTTCGGTGCCAGCTCTTCCCCAAAATTCACACGTATCTTCTCCTTTGTCAGAATATTGCCTGTAGAGTTACAATACTCCCAGAGAAAGCAGCCTTCCAATACTGAAATTGCCCCAAGATTAAACTTATCATTAGGTCCTCATCTCTCATCACAATCACATCTTTATTTCCCCATGAGAGTGCTCTTCAGGGGCCTCATTCTTCCCATTGTTGTTGAGACTCTTTTCAATCTCTCAGACTCAATCACTCCTTTCTGCTACTGCTTCCATCCTCCTGCAGCCCTCCTTCTTATAAAGAGGCTATGGGGAATCATCATTCCTTTGCTGTTCACCTTAGTAAGGGTATGTCACCCATTTTTCTCTCCCTTCCACCTCTTCTCTCACCATTTATGCTCCCTTCCACTGTGTAACTTGGTCTTACAAAATAAATTTATTGAGTTGTAGAAGGAGTTATGGGATTTAGTCCACAGTGCTTCAGTTCTGTTCCTCTGTTTCACTTTTTATTTTCCTTTAAGGTCTATTTATATCCTTATCCTTTTGCTTCTTTTTTTAAAAAAAAATTGTCATAATTCCCTCTCCTTTTTTTAACCTTGTAATGCTCTCTCTTGCTTTCATTCTCATTCTTTCTTTCTTTCTTTCTTTTACTCTCCCTCTAAACATGGTAAGCATATAGTAATTTATTTCATTACTTAAAAATAATTACTTAAAATACTCAGAAATAATTGCACCTTTCCTGTGTTTCTGTTCCTTGGGTTGCTTTCCAGTGGTATATTATGTTCATGTTTTGTTCCTTTGTTAAATGACCATCTTTTTTTCACCAATGATTAGATTCAATTTCTCTTCTCACAAAATCTTCATTAATTTTGCACATTCAAATGCTTTAAATTTTTATATTATCAAAATTGTTTTTTTTCTCTTATGCTCTCCTCTATACCTTTTTTGGTTAAGAAATCTTCCCCCAACCATGGTGATGAAAGGTACCTCCTTATATTTTCTCCATTTTAAAAAATGATGTGGCTTTTTTATATTCATGCTATGATTTCATTTTGAATTTATTGTGGCATATAGCATAAGATGATAATTTAAATCTAATTTCTGCCAGACTGCTTTCTAGTTTTACCAGCAATTCTTATGCTTTTTTAAAAGAGAGTCTTTCCCCCCACAATTTATGTCCATAGATTTATCAAACTCTGGGCTACTGAATTTTATTGCTTCTGTTTCTTTCTTTTCTAGTCCATTACACGGATCAATTTTTCTGCTTTTTAACCAGTACCAAATAGTTTTGATGACTGCTGCTTCATAATACAGTTTCAGTCCTTGTAATGTTATGTGTCCTTCTTTCATGTATTTTTTCTTACTATATATATCTTGAGATTTTGTTCCTCCAAATTACTTTTTTATGTTGGTATGTCATTTTTATTCTGTTGATATAGGCCAAACACAAGCAGTGGCAGTCTCTATAATTATTTGTCTTCCTTCATTTCTTTAAAACATGGTTTACAGTTACATTTATATAAATATTTTATGGCTATTACTATTCAGATAATTTATTCACTTTGTATTTTTTTATTTTACTTTTAAGTTCTCTTATAGTTTCTTTCTAATTTTTGTTAATACTGTATACTGTAGCACAGGCTCTGGTGCTACTATCTGAAATTCTCATTTGCATTAACAGGTTGGGTTAGCTTCCACATAAGGCCTTTCCTAATTTCCATTTATTAGTGCTCTCTCTTCATGTATATATTTGTCATATTTTCAATTGCCTGTATACATATTGTATCTTCCCCTTCCCCTAGTAGAATCTTTGAAAGCAGGGGACTACTTAGTTTTTTTCTTTGTCTTTGTGCCTAGTCCAGTGACTTGCATATGAGAGCAACTTGATATACTTTGATTAGCAGCAATGATGAAAACTCTATCTTTTCCCAGGACACAGGTTTCTTTCCCAGAACTTCCTTAGAAATGCTGTCTAAATTGCTTCTGGGCTGTTTATGACTCCATCTTGAGATGTATTCAGTCACTCATTTGTTGACCTGGAAATAAAAGTAGAGAGGATCATTCTTTCCCCTGCCTTAGTATTTGTCAAACCTGATGACCACTACCCCTTTCTAGTGACTTACAAGGAGAGTGCTGATAGAGGTCAGGACCCATAGGTACCAAGCAGAAATGTGTGTTCAGTCCCACCAAAATCAAGGCTGTAAGAGAAGAGAAGGTCAATCCTAAGAAAATCCAGGGTTTGGGCACTCAGTTCTCCATAGTTGACAAAGGAAACCCAGAGGCTTATTGGATTGTTTAGGTTTGGGAGAACTCATAATCCCAACCTGGCTATACTAATGGTGCCTATATATAAACTCACCCATGAGTATACCTCTTGTGGAGCCCAAGAACACACTATAGCCCTAGACAATCTAAATTGGACTATCCATTAGTCTCTCCCCCTTGGCCCTTGTGATCCTATGGGGTCCATGTTTTTGTAGGTCTCTGTCCAGGATGAACAGTCTGAACAGAGCCTTTGGGTGCCACCTATGGGTGGCAAGACCAAATGACCATAAAACTTCTGGAGCTCTAAGCAACCCAAAGTGGCCATTTTCTATACCAGTTTTGAAAAGCATTTGTTCTCCTGTCTCCTGGGTCCTAGTTGCTTCTACACAAATGAAATAGGGTCAGATGACTACCCTTAATCCAGATCAATCAATATGCTTCTAGACTTCTTTGTCTGCTATGGGAAATTGAGTGCCAAAACCCAAGATTTTCTTAGGGTTGACCTTCTCTTCTCTCATGGCCTTGATTTCAGTGAGACCAAACATGTCTTTTTGCCGATGACCAATTGGTCCTGATCCCCATTAGCATTATCCTTGTAAGTCACCAGAAATAGGTAGTGGTCATCAAGTTTGAGTTGGGTAATGAAAATGTCACTTTTAATAAAATGAAAGAGGACAGGAGTTCTCTACAATTACATGCAAATGACACATTCAAAATTGTGCCCTCTCAGGTCTCTCAGGTACTGTTGGCCATCATGACAGGACTCTACCACTAGTCCAAGTCTCAATTTCCTGCTTCCTCCAATAACCCAATGAGCCCCTACACAACAGGACCTAGCTCCTCAGCAATGCTGCTTTGCCTGAATTACTCATAGCTCTGGTCTGCCCACAATAAAAGAGGCATGTGCCACTGGATTTCTGTGGTCTGGTTAAAAAGAAATACCTTGAGGAAAGGGGGTTCTAGCAAGTCCTCCTAATGAGTTGTAATCTACATAGCCAGTATATGAAAGAGCCTTGAGAGGCAGATCAGATAAGATCTTCTTCTACACTGATGAATTATGGACCTTGGCCATTCATCTGACTGAGTGTCTTGAGGCCTAGAGAGAAAAGGACTGGATATTCAAAAGCTGTTCCTTTGGGAACAGAACCAATAGAGGAACTTTGTCAGTCAATGCCTCCCATCGCATATTGGTATTTGCGGGACATAGCACTTAATGGAGATGTAATAGATTTTGGGTTACCCACCCAGTTGGGCCCCCAGGGGAGAGGATAACCTGGCTGATGGGCTGGGAAACACTGAGAAAATGGTGGTAGAGAGTCTCACTGTTAAGTCTGGTGCCAGAAAAGATTCTGTGTAAGAGAGTAATGACCTCTTGGCTATTTTACTACAGATACCATGATGAGAATCAGTGATTGTCAGAAGTTTTGTCATTCGTGTGGTGATCCTGATGTCCCTGGTACTATCAATGCTTTACACAGAGACCCACTGTGAACTATAAAAATGTTATCACCCACCATATATATACCAAATCATTAATATCAAAAACTCAGTCATTCCAAAGGGAGGAAGCAAAGCCTGAGATTTCTTGTTTCATTCTCTTTCATATTTGGTTACTTTTTCAGTGAGCTGGAGGGGGTGAGGAGTTCTTTTTGTTTCATTTTTTCTCTCTTTCTGGTTGGTTGGTTTGTTTGTTTCCTTCCAACACTGCCTATGGGAGGTTTCTCATGTCTCTGAGATTAGGATTATCCAGTAATGGCCCTAAAGCCATTTTAGTGCTGCAAAGTCCTGCAGAAATTGTTTGGGACCTTGCTGCCAAGAGTTTGAGTATAATAAGAGGAGAATAAAGTAGGACTTTTCCTAAAAGTCAAGGAAGCTATCTCCAAAACTTGATTGGCACAGGGAGCTTAGGCTTAAGCCATGTTGCTTGTGATGCAAGATTCCTGATTTCCAAAGAGCATAAAAGTGGACAACCCACATGGGATCAATGTCCTACAGACTTGACTAATATGCCATATCTGTGCAAGTCACTGCATCCTGACCTGCTGACCTGACTTATTCTGAATGGATATAAGGGGGTTCATGTCTACCTAAGACAGGTACTTTATCCATTTTGATTATCCTTTACATGCCATATACGAAATACATTTCTTTTTGTTGACTGCTAAATGTCAAGCCTGACCTATTACAACTTCAATGTATGGATATAATATGTTCACAAAGATTTTAGAGAAATGAGAATGTAGCATATAATTTGATTTTGATATTGATTTCCTTTTGGTTGCTTTAAAAAAGGGTATATCATCTTTAATCTTTTCCATTCCTTTGAAATCCTTCCTTCTTGAGTATCTGTCCCCAAGGGCCATTAAAACTGTGTGTGTTTAGCATGGATTTCATTTGTACTTAAGCCACTGATTCTTCCCAGCTCCGTCTTTCTAAGTATCATTGCTGCTGCTTCACATACATAGTATATTGGGTACTGATGTGATAGAGTTTCACTGAGATTGCTAGAAGAGAATATATGACCATGGAAATACCCGAAAATCTTTTTCATTTCCCATCTAATTTGCTGTCCTAATGCCAGTTTCATCTACAAATGTTTCTTTTACAATCTTGCTTTGTGTTTGAAATAAGCTGGAAGATTTCAGGCCAAACTCGATAGTCTTGTTTCTCCTCGGCTGAGGAGAACTGCTGTTCTCTGACATCATTTTATTCATACTCTTTTGTATTCTCCTATAACATTTTATGAGTCTGTAATCTAAACTAATGTTGCCTTTGTCTCCTACATCTTTTTACTTCAGGAGGAGGTTCTGTGACTGAGGCAGTTTCTGGGCTCTTTTGGTCTCCTTATCGTGATTATTTTGCATTAGTTAAACTTTTCAGGAAAAGTTTGTCATCAAAGTCTTTATTCAGGTCCCATTTTGAAGGGTCAATAGATTGTTGACAGATCGGGTTGTAATTACCATAAATCAAGGCAGTGTCTTCTCATTTTATCTTATTTTTGTAATCTGGTATTGAATTTAACCTTCACTCTAACCGATGAGTTGCAGGTGCTCCTACTGAAATGACTGCTATGTTGATAACCAGTCATTTCCTTTCTGTTACTTTATAGTCAAATGTAAGCCGATCAAGGGCAGGGACTATGTTTCATTTTGGCTTTGTATCCTTAATACCATGCATATAATGCTATAGGTGCTTAACAAATGCTTCTTGGATTGATAAATATTTTATTTTTATGATGTTGCATCAAAGTAGGTTTTTATGAAAGGAAATATATTGCTGGAAAGAAACATTTATGGACAAAGAAGATTGATCTCACAACAAAGTGAGAGCTAGTTTGAGAGCTCAGAGACAGGGGGTAAAGAAACTAGCCAGGAGTCTGTTGCTGTAGTCTAGACAAGTAATAAGGAAATTCAATACTGGGGATGACAGTAGAAACAAAAAAGGAACAGATGGATTTGAGAGATAGTGTGGGTGTAGAATCAACAAGATTTGAAAACTGATTATATGGAGGAAGAAGTAAAAAAAGGAAAGAGCAAAAGACAGTTAACAAGCAGGTTTCAACGGTTGACAACTGAGTGATTGGCAGTGCCAGTGAGAGAAATAATGAAGTCAGGAAGAGAAATCTAAAACTGATAAACTAAAGCTGTACTAATGTGTTAATGACCACTAAATACATAATAAGATTCCTTCAATAATATTCATATTTTAATAGGAGTCTCCTAAAGAAACAAATCAATCAATTAACACTATTAAGTACTTCCTGTGAATCAATAAAATATTTACTAAGCACCTACTATGTGCCAGGCACTATGTTAGATGCTAAGGATACAAACAGAATGAATAGAACAATCCTTACTCACAAGGATCTTACATTTTAGCAGGGAGACAACAATGATACATATGTAAAATAAATATAAAGAGGATAAGTATAAAGCAGTTAAATACAAGATAGTTTGAGAGGGAGGAAACTAGCAGTTGACTGTCAGGAAAGGCTTCATGTAGAAAAGGGTGTTTGAGCTGTGTCTTGAAGGAAAGAAGGGATTCAATGAGGCAGGGGGGAGAAAGGAATAATAATAATAGTGCCTACTATGTGGTTGTTGTTTGTGCTTGTTTTCAAAGAACAATCATAATATTGGAGTCAAGGTATGGTATGTGACCATAGGCACTACCACAGATCAAACACAAGTGGTCTATTAGAGCACTTAGGAGGACAAATCTGGATTTGTCTGGATTTGTGCAGCTCATCTTTCCTTTGTGCTTCTACATTTTGGCTTTGCCCACGGAGTACAGCCCCTTCTTTGATGTGGTCATGCCGTGCTGGGTGGTCCTCTGCCAGTGTTTCCCATGTCTCACAGTCAAGATTAAAATCCTTCAGAGATACCTTGAGAGTATCCTTATACTGTTTCTTCTGACCATCATGTGAATGCTTACATTGTGCAAGTTCTGCATAAAATAGTTGCTTAGGTAATTGTGCATTTGGCATTCAGGCTAAGTGGCCATTCCATTGGAGCTGTGCTCTCTGCAAGTTTGAATGCTTGGCAGTTCAGCTCTAGAGAGGACCAGTGTCTGGTACCTTATCTTGCAAGGTAATCTTCAAGTTCTTCCTGCAACAATTGATGTGGAAGCAGTTCAATTTTCTGGCATAGTGCTGATACATTGTCCAGGTTTCCTAGGCATACAACAGTCTAGTCAGAACAATAGCTCTGTAGACCTTCAGCTTGGTATGCAGCCTGATACCTCCCCTCTCTCACTTTCTTTCTTTCTTTCTTTTTCTTGAATAGTATTTTATTTTTTCTAATTACATGTAAAGATAATTTTCAACATTCATTTTTTGAAAGATTTTGAGTTCCAAATTTTCCCCCTCCCTTCCTCTCCTTCCCCTCCCCAAGACAGCAAGCAATGTGATATAAGTTATATGTGCAATCATGTGAAACCTTTCCACATTAGTTATGTTGTCTCACACTTTCTTTCAAAGCCTCCCAAACACTGAACTACTACTGGCAATATATGTATCAGATACCTCATCATCTGTGTGAACAGTTCTGGAGAATATACTGCCAAGGTAAGTGAACTTATCTACAGTTTTCAAAATTTCTCCATTTACTGTGACCAATGGTTCCATATATAGTTGATTGTGGTGCTGGCTAGTAGAGGACCTCTGTTTTCTTGGTGTTGATTATGAAGCCAAAATTAGCACAAGTGGCAGAGAATCGATCTATACTCTGTTGCTTCTTGGTCTCAGAGGCTGCACTGAGTGCACAATCATCTGTGAACAAAAAGTCACACACCAACTCCCCCTCTACTTTGGTCTTGGCTTGTAGCCTTTTCAAATTAAATAATTTATCACCAGGGTGGAAGCTGATCTTAATGTTATTTTCATCCTCACTGAAAGTGTCTGACAATATCACAGGAAACATGATGCTGAAAAGCATGGGAACAAGCACAGAGCCCTGTTTCATGCCATTGGTGATCAGGAAAACATGAGAATATCATCCTTTATCCAGAACCTGTGCCAGCATGTCATCATGAAACTGATGTACAATGCTGATGAACTTCTCTGGACAACCAAATCTCACTTCATGACTGACAGTATCAAAGGCCTTGGCCAGGTCAACAAACATTATGTACAGACCTGTGTTCTGTTCCTAGCATTTATCCTGGAGTTGTTAGGAAGCAAACACCATGTTGACCATTCTATGGCCCTTTCTGAAGCCACACTGACTCTCAGGGAAGGTGACCATCCTCTAGAGGATCAGCTAATTAAAGGGTACACTGCCCTCTGATTGTCACAGGACAGCCTGTTTCTTTTTCCATTATACAGATGGACAATGAAAGTATCCTTAAGCTCCTGAGAGATGACTTCCTTTTGCCACACAAGCCAGAAGATTTTAGTCAGCTTCTGTATGAGCAATGGACCCTGCCTTGCAGCTCTCTGCTGGGTTGGAAACATTGCCAGGTGTTTTCTCACTTGAGAGGAATCTCTTCATTTGGTGGTTCAGCTAGAGAGGAACTGATTACAATCTGAGGCATACAATGAATGGCTTCAGCATTCCTCCAAGATCATATCCTTGTCACTGGTCAGTGTGGCTCCATCAGCACTGAGTAGTTGAGAGGTCCCAGAGCTCTTTGGCCCATAAATAATCTCCAGGACATTGTTGAAGTGCTTGGGATTACTGCTGTCAGCAGCAATAATAATATTTGTATAATACTACCTACTATATGGTATGCCTTATGTTAAGCACTTCACAAAGACCATCCAAGTGCCTTTGATACATTGGGAAGTCAATGCCTAGATCAGCAAAGGAGATGGAGTATCATGTGTGAGGAACAGAGAGAAGTCCTGGGCTGGATCATGGGGCATGAGAAAGTAAGTGATAAGGAGAATAATACGTAGTGGTGTTGGAAAGACAGAATGGAGTTATGTTTTGAAGGTATTTAAAAGCTAAACAGAAAAGTTTACATTTGATTCTAGAGGCAAGAGGAAGCCACCAGAGTTGATTGGGTAGGGGACTGACATGGTCATATTTGCCCTTTAAAAAATTACTTTAGCAGCTATGTGAAGGATCTATTGGAACAGGAAAGGACTTGAGTTAAAGAAATCACTTAGGAAGTTATAGCAACAGTCCAAATGAGGTAAGATGAAGGCCTGCATTGTGTAAGTGTAAAGTGAAAAGTAGTTATATAACACACATTATGGAAATAGAAATACAATTTGACAACTGATGTAAATGAAGGTTGAGTAAGATTGAGGAGGAGATGACATCAAGGTTGCAAAACTTAATGACTAGAAAGATTGTGGTTCCCGGGGGAATTTTGGAAGAGGGGTGAGTTCTGAGGGGAAAGACAACTAATTCTATTTTGGTCATCATGAGTTTGAGACATCTAGGAAGTTTGAAATGTCCCATAGGAAGTTGGCGATAGAGGACTAGAGCTCAGAAGAGAGAGTAGTGCCAGAAATATAGATGTGGCAATCATCTGTACAGAGATAGCAATTGAAACCATGAGAATAAATTAATGAGGTCACCAAGTAAGAGAGAAGAGAGCCCAGTATAGAGCTTTGAGAGGCACCCACTTTAGTGGATATGCAGTGGATAAAGATCTGACAAAGGAGACTAAAAAGGAGAAGTCAGACAGGTAAAAGAACCAAGAGAGGAAAGTGTCATGAAAACCCAGAAAGAAGAGGGTATCCAAGAGGAGAAAGTGGTCAGCACTGTTACATACTACAGAAAAGCAAAGGATGAGGACTGAAAAAAAGATGTATAGATTTGTCAATTAAGAGACCATTGGAAATTTTGGAGAAAGCAGTTTCAGTTTCATGATGAGATCAGAAGCCAGATTTCAGAGTGCTTAGAAGCAGACAGTAAGTGTAGATACTTATATTGTTCAGTCGTTTTTCAGTCATGTTTCAGTCAATTGTGTCCAATTGGGTCTTCATGACCCCATTTAGGGTTTTTTTGGCAAAGATATTTCACCATTTCTTTCTCCAGATCATTTTACAGATGAGGAAACTGAGGCAAACAGGGTTAAGTGACTTTCCCAGGGTCACACAGCTAGCAAGTATCTGAACTTAGGATGATGAATCTTCCTGACTCTAGGCACGAGCTCTATCCATTGCACCACCTAGCTGACCCTCATGGAGGTACTAAGCATAGACTAATTTTTTCACGTTTAACTAAGATGAAAAGAGATGGGGATTGTAGGACCTAGTAAGAGTCATTTTAAAGGATAAGGAGACTGAAGCATATTTATGGAGAAGGGAAGGAAGAAGTAGATAAGAAAAGACTGAATATTAGAGATAGGATTATAATGGGGACATTATGCTACAGCAGACAGAAGGGAGGGGGGTCAAAGGTACATAGAGAGGGATAGGCCTTCACAAGGAGAAAGGCTGCCTCTTTATCAGAGACTTAAGTGGAGCAATCAGTGACAGATTATTTGAGAGGGATATGCACTGAGGAAAATAAGAGAAGAGAGAGCTCTTGGAGAATGTCTTCAATTTTTTTGAAGTATGAGGCAAGTTTTTTTAGCTGAGAGGAGAGTGGGATGAGAAGGTATGGGAGGTTTAAGGAAAGAGAAGTTTTGGAACAGCCACTGGGGTGAGTAGGATACAAAATTGAGGAAGGAGGAGTAAAAAGATTGCCTTGTGGCAGTGAGAGCACACTTGAGATTGGATAACATACATTTATAGTGAATACAAAGACTTAACTCAAAAGAGTGATTATGATGATGAGAGTTTAAGGTATGGTGATATTTTGGGGTAGCTAAGCCCACCTTACTTACACGTAGAACTAATCCTACACTTCAGAGTCTATCTTATCTAAATTTTTGCGGAGCATTTGATAAAACATTTCATACTATTCTTTGGAAATTCTAGAGAAATATTAATGAGATAATAGAATTATATGTATTCAGAAGTGATTGAATGAGTGAATTCAAAGAATAGACAGCAACAGTCCAATGTCAAGTTGGCAGGAAGTCTTCAATGGAGCGTCGTCCATACTCAACAGATTTGCTGACAGAGAACTGAGAAAGACAGTTAATACAATGGATGGCAAAGTCAGGATTCAGAAAGATCCTGGAAGTCTAGATCATTGCACTAAATCTAATAAAATGAAATTTGGTAAGGGTAAATGCAAAGTCTTGGACTTGGGTTAAAAAAATCAACCTTATAAGATGATGAGAGAGTCATAGATTGTCTTAAAAAAGACCTGGTCATTTTAATGATGTGGTAGTCAAAACGCTCATGTAATTTTAGGTTGCCTTGTGAGGGATAGCTTCCAAGAACAAGGAGATGAGGGTCCTTTTGCACTCTATCCTGGGCAGACCACATACAAATTATGGTTTCAGTTACAGACGCCACATTTTAGAAAGGTCGCAGAGAAGTTGAAGAGCATACATATGATGGCAGCTTGGGTGATAAAGGGCCTTGAGTCTACATCATAGAAGGCTAAGTAGAAGAGGGATTAGACTTGTTAGCTTGGCTCCAGAGGAAAGACCAGGAGCAATGGATGGACTGACATTTAAGACTGATGTCAATATAATAGTTATAACAACTCTTTTAAGTCTATCGTCCCCAAGATTCATATTTCTCTTCTCTTTGGCTTTAGTTAATTAATATTAGATGAAAAGTTTTGAATTCACTCATAATCACTGTGAGCTCTCAGTTAGGAAAATTCCGAACACTTTGGCAGAGGCTCACTACCTAACCTTACATTTATATTGCCTCTAGTTTACTCCTGTTTTTTTGTGATTGAGTCAAAATTCAGTTTACTAGAAATATTTGTGTAACAAAACAACAGATTTTATTATAGTATCTGTGGATAGACAGTTCAGGAGCACAAGTTGGGGAAAGTGCCAATCTTTTCTTGGAACTTTCCTCAGCTTCAGAGAGAGTTCTTATCTCTGAGATGCCTATAAAGCCAGTGACTATCCTTCATTGCCTCAGCTCATTCCCCCCTTTACTCCAAACCTAGGTGATCAGAATCTCTTTTTGCCCTCGTTTCTGAGATATTTTCTCTCTTTTGTACAAATTACTTAAGGCATGAACAGATTTCTCACATGATGACTTTGACTGATTGAAGATGTTGTACAGGCCCTGTTCATTCTAAGTTCTAATTGTTTGATTCAATTAAAAAGTGTTTCACCTAGTTGAGGCACCAAAGTCAAATGGATTGTTTAAATTCTTCTTACATGGGGAGGGATGGGGAAACTTCCTGAGAATGGGCTATGTCAGGGGATAATAGTTTCCCCCTAAATGGAGTTCTTCAAGTGGAAGATGGGTGATTGCTTTCCTATAGTGGGGATTCCATTTAAGGTTTAAGTGAGACTAGATAGTCAACTCTAAAATCTATAATTCTATGAATTCTGACAATGTTTACTATCTGTATTATTTAGAGGGCTATTTAGGATCATAGAATTCAAGCTTGGAGTGACTTTGGAGATAAGCTCCCTCTAATAAAGTCATCTTGGGATAGTAGAAAGAAAGCCAGATCTTGATCCAGAAGACCTGTGTTCACACCCTGGCTCTGCCATGTACGATGTATGAGTCTTTGGGATCTATAA